ACCACTTGGGGGTATGCTGTTACAGGAAAGCAATCAATGATAGGGTGGTGTGGGGTTACCTGGCGTGAAGTGGAGTCACTGTTACCACCCTGATGTGGATTATTTTCCAATAACCGCACATCCCGAAGCATGGTGACCTGCAATGGATGGCATACCACCCAGGGTGTGTTCCCACCTCACACCCATTGTTCCTGGAATGAACTCCAGATCCTGACAAACACAGCGTCCCTGAACAGGATAGAGCGGTTTTCAAAGATGAACGAATGAATGATCTTCAGAAAAGGTGGTTAAAACTGATATTCTAAGTCTGATATTGACTGATACTCGGGTCAGCTGTGTTAAACGTGCTAAATAAATAAAGCGTACTTATTTACTTAGTTAATTCGGCAGGCACAGCAGTGGCACATGGGCAGTCCTGAGATCTGAAATCACCAGCACAGCGAACTGCGTGTCACAACATTAAACCCTTTCCTAGTGAACTATCCAAAAATGATCGCTGTTTGTCACTGGGGATCGTAGCACTGTGCATTAATGATCATTACTCACATGAGTACGTTACTTAAGCTTGCACAGGAAGTCGCTATTTTAATACATGCGACAAAAATAAATTCTTCAGCGCAAAAACGATAACTCGGAAGTGTATAAAGGCGAAGATTTCAGTTCTGCCGTTATGTTCATATCCCTTGTGAGCTGGGCTTGGACTGAGAGTACTGACTCGCACCCATTCCCACACCCCAGCAGACTCCTTCTGTCCTTCCCATGCCTGGATTGTTACCCACAATGCCCCATTCATGACATTCAGACGTTGTTTCCCAGTACTACAATTTTACAGGCTTTATATATTGTAAGTTTCATGTTTTTAGAGAGCAAATATGTTTTCTGCTGCCATCTTCCTTTTATTAGTTCTAGTATTAAATTCCTACGTGGTTCCGTTGTGTAACTACTTAAGTTATGTTTTTCAACGTCTATAGCAGTTTTCTGCTTGAGGGAATGCTTTGCTTTGGTCGGTCATAAACCTTGAATGTAATAATGTATTACATTATACTCCATGTTTCATTTTTATTGAACATTTCTGCTGAACATTTCTACAGAACATTTCTACAATTTTTGCTAAACCAGTTCTGCTAAACATTTCTGCTATACATTTCTGCATAACTGCTAAGGCTATCTAAATCGCCTTTTCTGTTCTGTCCTCCCCACCATTTCCCAAAAATACAAAATTAGCAACAGCAGAAAATATTCACAGATTTTTTTCTTTTTATACAAAGAAAAACAAAATTGAACCCACAACCCAACCCTCCGGCTCATCATGGCTACATTATTTACATTATACTCAAGTATAAGGCTCAAATAAGGTCATTAGGTACACTCGTAAAGGATGCATTCTGCTACAGAGGTCTGTGGTTGAGTTCAGCTTATTGCATCTTGCGTTTAGATCAGTGTGTGTGTGTATATAATAAAACAGAAATTCAGTTTGTTTGAAAATGCTGTACAGTACATGCTGTATATAACATGTATACACCACACATTAATATAACTGCATGGCACATAAAGCATTTATTTCGTTTTAATACTTAGAGGTCGATGGGTTATGGACAGAATCTTTACAGCAAATAGAGCAATAATGAAAGAAAGGAGTTGCCAGGTAGAAAACCTTGTTCAAACAACATTTTGAGGGTCAGACATCATCCTAATGCATGCATTCACAATCCCTTTTAGCCCATTTTAATGGCCCAAAAACCCGATTGCTAGAGATCTTTAAAGTTGCTCTTTAAATTTTCTTGCCAATTCCCACCCACTAGCTAACTTCTCTATCATATAAAAGCTACCAGTCAAAGAGTGTGAACACTCTAACACTTGCTTCCTACGAGAAGCCGATAGCAATGCCAGCCAGTAGCATCTTTTCAAACTGCTGCTCATGCTGTCCGCCCTCTTCCGCATACACAAGCTGACAAATGGCCACAATTGGCTACTGTCACTGTGATTGACAGGAGAGATAGTGTGCCATTTCTCTCACCCAGAGCGCGTGTTGCATCATCGGCATTTTGAGAACCAGTCGCATAATGTTCAGCAATTAACATTTACATTCATGCCATTTTGAACATCTTTATCCTAACCGATAAGATTAAGTCTCGATCCTGACTTAGTTACTAGTCATTTCTGATGCACAAGCAAATACATAACTGCTTTTAATGTGCGTGCTTCATGGTCGTTCAAGTGCTTGTTGGAGAAGTTCACTTTTAGTCTCCTTTTTAAGATGGCAAGCGGACAGAATTTTCCATTTTTGGCTTCGTGGGCAAGCATCAGGGGTTTAACGCCAATTGAACCAAATATATAGGTAGCCAGTGGAGGAGACGTAGCTGTGGAGTGATGCTTGAACTCGCAGGGATGGAAGACAAGCTGTATTTTAGTGCCGAACATGGTATAATGTGGAAAAACATAATGGAGGTGGAAGGCAGCAAATCAACACAGTCAATTTAATGTCACGACTCTCAACATGAAGCTACCTCTCAGGGCCGGCATGCCAAGGATATCTCGTGTCAGAATGAACGAGTCATGTCTGGTTTATTCAGTGGATCAGGCTTGTTGTAGTTTATCTACATGTGAGCTACTGTGTGTGTAAAGGTGGGTCGGAGGTGGACAGGTTGGGTACAGTGTGGATTATTGAAAACCACTGAACAGGAAATGCTTGACACGGGCACGGGCACGTGCACAAGAAGAGGTGGTAGTATTCTAGTGATAATATACAGTGCACATTGTATCACTTACCATACATTCACCACTATACACAATCTTGTACAGCATAATCAGTGCATTCGAATAAATGTAATGGGTCTATTTATACCACTGTTGATTTCTTTATTCTGATTGGTCAGAAGGTGTTTTGTGCAGAACACAAAGGTGTTCAGTTCCAGATGAAAGCAAATCACAAGTTTGTATTAATGCACTCATTGTAATACATTATTGTTTCTATAGCACCAGCTTTTTCACAGGGACTTGTATGGCAGACCCTACCAACAGGTATGGTATTTAAAATGTTTTCGGTTGGGGGTTCGATTCCCACCTCCAACTTGTGTGCTCTAAGTCATTTGTTTTGCATTTTCTAATGCAAAACTCCAGCTTGTGGCCTTTCTAACTTTCAAAAATCGTATTATGTTCAAGGAATGACTGTTTACACCTGCTATAACTTAGGTAATATCAGTAATAACAGCGTGGCTCAAGGTCCCTTTCCAGAACGTTCAAACTGACCGTCCCTCAGTTGTGGAGTGAACTTCCAGCCTCAATCTTCAAAAAACAGCAAAAGACCCACCTCTTCTGTGAGCACGTAACTAACCCCTAAAATGCCAGCCCCACATTATTTAAATAAATAAATAAATAAATAAATAAACCTTACTCCGGCTCTTACACCTCTACTCAATTATAAATCACTACTTGTATTGTTCTCCACTTGATATATCCCTTTGCTTGTGGTTTCCTAATTTGTAAGACACTTTGGATAAAAACGTCCACTAAACGAATAAATGTGAATGTACTGTAACAGGAACTAACTTGTTTCACAACATAACTATAAAATGGATAAAAAACTATGAGTCGTTTTTTAATAAACAAATCACTGGCCGTTTTTTGGGAGTTTTGGAATGTGCCAAAAGTAAATGCGCTTTACGTCAAGACCACATAAATTTTATCAGCTAAGAGAGATTTTCATGCTTCGGTAAACAAAATCACAGTTGTTTTGCCAAGTAGAGTTCACCAACCTGTAGTTTAAACTCTTAGCTGACAGACTTGTAGCTGTGTGATATGCTAACGGTAATGATATCACAGTATGTGCTGTGCTAACAGAGCTACCTAGCTGAGTACAAATCAGAACAAAACAGACAGAATTTATGGTTAATCTGGTTCTCCAAAGCAGTGTATGGTCCAGAACGTATTTTATGTCTGTTAGGTAAGAATGATCAACACTAGCAATAATGCTAGAGTTCTGTCGTTGAAGTCGGTCAGCAAACGTGGACCAGACGTGCTTCAGTGTACGCTTAAACTGCATCTCAAGTAAGTTCATTTAGAAATAGAGCTGAACTGAGGTTGAAAAGATTAAAGAAGGTCTTGTCCAGATGATAACTCATCTCTGTGTTGCCATGTGGTGGTTATTTGGGACATTGGGTCATTACCCTGAAGAAAGGATTTTACACACACACACACACACACACACTCTAGGTATCAGGTTTCAGCACTGATACATCTCAGCCTAGCTAATGGACATACAGATCAGTGTGTGCATTATTTGTGGCTGTGTGTGTGTGTTTTACAAAGCAGTAAAAATGCGGTGATTGATTGGGGAAGTGCAGCTGTGAGTGTTTCAGTCTCGCCATCAGCTTTGCGCTTTTGAGGATTTGTGTAATATATATTTATATAACCAGATCATCGGCAGAGAGCAGCAGGCTGGTGAGCTGGGCTTCGCTGTTGCGCTTCCAGTCCAGTGCTAAATTGGTGTCAGTAGTGTGTTTCGAAATCTGTGGTTGCCATAGCTTTCAGAAAATCCACTTTTTTTTTTTTTGTCTTTGCAGTGACACGAGCACATGTCTCAATCTGAGCCTCTCCAGATTTCACGTTCACTTGCATTTCAGAATCATTTGTAAAGCCGTCTGCTACTTGGCCTTTTCAAGCCGATTGTACTAGCGAACTGAATACTGAGAGGCGGTGAGATTTTTGGTTCAATGTGGGCCAAATAACTGTTCAAACATCTCTAATCAGTGATGCACTGTCTGCCTGTCAGTCCCAATTAAGGAGGTGTGGCCATGCTGTGGCCATTGTCAATCCGAGTGTAGAAGGTATGGTCTCTGTACCTGCCAGAACCAGAAAAAAAGACGAATCCCTTCTGTGCCTCAGTCACAAAAACGGAGCGTGGCCTTTGTGCATCAATACCAGCAAAGGAAGCGTGGCCTTCCACTTCTCAAATCTGATGTTTTTTTTTTTTTTTAATTAAAATGAAATACAGTACTGGGGGCATGGTGGATTAGTGGTTAGCACGTTGGCCTCCCACCTTCAGAATTGGGGGTTCGATTCCCATCTCCGCCCTATGTGCACTGAGTCTTCTCGCTGTTCTTCAGGGGTTTCATCTGGGTACTCTGGTTTGATCCCACAGTCCAAAGACACGCACTGTAGCATTCCCAAGACTGATTGGCATTTCCAAAGTGTGCCCTGTGATGGGTTGGCACCCCGTCCTGGGTGTACCACATCTTGTGCCCCGAGTCCCATGGGATAGGTTCAAGGCTCCCCGCGACTCTGTGCAGGATAAGCAGCACAGAAAATGGATGGATGGAAACACAATACATCACACTGAACTGCACTGATATAGACATATCATAAATCATATTATAGCAACTCGTTAAATCATTCATACATACTCCTACTACCAATATGTTCTACTGCCAGGCCTTCAGCATAGTTCTATTTACAGACAAATGAGAGGAATATTGAGTACTGGCAAAAGTATGAAAGCAGCTCCACTGCCGCCTGCTGCGGCATTAAACTCCCTGATCTCTGCATATTATTAGCATATGTTCTTCATATGGAAGTGCAGAGGAAGAGCCAGTGTGTGTTTTGATGCTGGATGAAGCGCAAGACTTGTATTGCTTAGTGCAGGAAGGCCAGAATGGTGTGAGTTCAAATCACAGCCCCGCCAAGCTGCCACCGCTGGGCCCTTGTCCAAGGCCCTTTCCCCTCAAGTTGTATAAATGAGACAAATGTATGTCACTCTGGATAAAGGCATCTGCCATAAATGTAATTGTAAATGTAGTGCAGTTTTCAGTGTTAGTTAGTTTTTCAGACCTGTTGCTGTTTACGTTTGTTTCGCGTTTGTCTGTCTGCCATATTGTTATACTGATCGGTGAGTTTGACAGAGAAAATATTATCTTATTTCTAATAGGGGTCACAGGGCTGGTGGAGATGGATAAGGAGGGCAACCGAGAAATCGATTTTGCTCTCTGGGACATGACTGACACTGACACTGGAGTTTATCAGGTAGCTTCATTTTAAAACACGAATCTTTCCATTCAGCAGTCATATTGTCCTGAACGTTGTGCTGAATTTCGTGTGAGCCGTGTGATGTGTGTACGTGTGTTTATTGCAGATCGTGTCAGTGTATAACAGCAGCTTGAAGGAGATGATTCCTGAGCCGGGGATGAATGTACACTGGCTGAAAGGCGTTCCTCCCCCTGACATCCCAGTGTGTGGCTTTAAGAACGACAATCCTTCCTGTGTGGCCAGTAAGCAGCAATAGAACCCCTACTTCACTGCAAAATCCACTCAGTAGCTCCTCTTATTTAGCATGTGTATTTAAATAAACTATTTTTGATGTATTAGTAAAGGAAACAGACTATATATATATATATATATAGAGAGAGAGAGAGAGAGAGACGTACATGTATATAGTCATACACATATATATATATATATAGAGAGAGAGAGAGAGACGTACATGTATATAGTCATACACATATATATATATAGAGAGAGAGAGAGAGAGACATACGTGTATATAGACATACACATATATATATATATATATAGAGAGAGAGAGAGAGACATACATATATATAGACATACACGTATATATATATATATATATATATAGAGAGAGAGAGAGAGAGACATACATGTATATAGACATACACATATATATATATATATATAGAGAGAGAGAGAGAGAGACGTACATGTATATAGTCATACACATATATATATATATATAGAGAGAGAGAGAGACGTACATGTATATAGTCATACACATATATATATATATATAGAGAGAGAGAGAGACATACGTGTATATAGACATACACATATATATATATATATATAGAGAGAGAGAGATAGACATACATGTATATAGACATACACGTATATATATATATATATATAGAGAGAGAGAGAGAGAGAGAGAGACATACATGTATATAGACATACACACATATATATATATATATAGAGAGAGAGAGAGAGAGACATACATGTATATAGACATACACGTATATATATATATATATATAGAGAGAGAGAGAGAGAGAGAGAGAGAGACATACATGTATATAGACATACACATATATATATATATATAGAGAGAGAGAGAGAGAGAGAGACATACATGTATATAGACATACACACATATATATATAGAGAGAGAGAGAGAGAGAGACATACACGTATATATACAGTGGTGTGAAAAAGTGTTTGCCCCCTTCCTCATTTCCTGTTCCATTGCATGTTTGTCACACTTAAGTGTTTCGGAACATCAAACCAATTTAAACAATAGTCAAGGACAACACAAGTAAACACAAAATGCAATTTGTAAATGAAGGTGTTTATTATTAAATGTGAAAAAAAATCCAAACCATCATGGCCCTGTGTGAAAAAGTGATTGCCCCCCTTGTTAAAACATACTATAATTGTGGTTGTCCACACCTGAGTTCAATTTCTCTAGCCACACCCAGGCCTGATTATTGCCACACCTGTTCACAATCAAGGCATCACTTAAATAGGAGCTGCTTGACACAGTAAGGTCCACCAGAAGATCCTTAAAAGCTACACATCATGCCGAGACCCAAAGAAATTCAGGAACAATTGAGAAAGAAAGTAATTGAGATCTATCAGTCTGGAAAGGGTTATAAAGCCATTTCCAAAGCTTTGGGAATCCAGCGAACCACAGTGAGAGCCATTATCCACAAATGGCGAAGACATGGAACAGTGGTGAACCTTCCCAGGAGTGGCCGGCCCGCCCAAAATTACCCCAAGAGCGCAGCGACGACTCATCCAAGAGGTCACAAAGAGCCCACAACAATGTCCAAAGAACTGCAGGCCTCACTTGCCTCAGTTAAGGTCAGCGTTCATGCCTCCACCATCAGGAAAAGACTGGGCAAAAATGGCCTGCATGGCAGAGTTCCAAGGAGAAAATCACTGCTGAGCAAAAAGAACATCAAAGCTCGTCTCAATTTCTCCACAACACATCTTGATGATCCCCAAGACTTTTGGGACAACATTCTGTGGACCGATGAGACAAAAGTGGAACTCTTTGGAAGGTGTGTGTCCAAGTATATCTGGCGTAGAAGGAACACTGCATTTCATAAAAAGAACATTATACCAACAGTAAAATATGGTGGTGGTAGTGTGATGGTCGGCGCTGTTTTGCTGCTTCAGGACCTGGAAGACTTGCTGTGATAGAAGGAACTATGAATTCTGCTGTCTACCAAGAGATCCTGAAGGAGAATGTCCGACCATCTGTTCGTGTAATCAAGCTGAAACGAACTTGGGTTCTGCAGCAGGACAATGATCCTAAACACACCAGCAAGTCCACCACCGAATGGCTGAAGAAAAACAAAATGAAGACTTTGGAGTGGCCTAGCCAAAGTCCTGACCTGAATCCTATTGAGATGTTGTGGTATGACCTTAAAAAGGCCGTTCATGCTCGAAAACCCTCTAATGTAACTGAATTAGGACAATTCTGCAAAGATGAGTGGGCCAAAATTCCTCCAGGACGCTGTAAAAGCCTCATTGCACGTTATCGCAAACGCTTGGTTGCAGTTGTTGCTGCTAAGGGTGGCCCAACCAGTTATTAGGTTTAGGGGCAATCACTTTTTCCCACACAGGGGGCCATGATGGTTTGGATTTTTTTCACCTTTAATAATAAACACCTTCATTTACAAATTGCATTTTGTATTTACTTGTGTTGTCCTTGACTATTGTTTAAATTGGTTTGATGTTCCGAAACACTTAAGTGTGACAAACATGCAAAGGAACAGGAAATGAGGAAGGGGGCAAACACTTTTTCACACCACTGTATATATATATATATATAGAGATAGAGAGAGAGAGAGAGAGAGAGAGAGAGAGAGACATACATGAATATAGACATACATATATATATAGACATATCTGCATATTTTTTGTCTTTATTTCAGAAACGGTCACAATGCATCAGATGATCTCGATAGTGGTGTGCTTCATCTTCATCATCATCGTCACTGTCACGGTCTTCATCTACAGGTCAGTTAAACACTGTTTGCAGCTTCTAATATTGTTTCTCCACTTTGACCCCTCATTTATCCTCATTATCACTCCATTTGTCTTTCTCTCTGTCTTGCTTTGTTCCTGTAATTGTCCGTTTTTCCAACACATTTTCATCCAAACCATTTAAACACCTGTAGTCTTCTCTCTCGTGTCCCATAATTCTTAAAAAACAAAAAAGTTTTTTTTTTTTTTTTTCTTTACTTCCTTCCTCTTCCATTTCCTTCTCCATATTGTTGAATACCAGAGGTTATTTTCAGACTGAGGAACAAGAGTGTGCTAGAGAAAATAGACTTGTCTTCAAAAAAAGCACGCATCATTACGGATATAACACATTTGTACTTTATTTCCACAGTCGAAATATAATGTATTCTAATGTGAAATATTAGATACATGAAAATGTAATTATAAAATTAGGCGTAAATATGTTCCTAACTCCTAAATCGGCTGCCATTGGGAACATTGGCGATTTAGCCGATATACTGTAGGAAAATATCTATCAATAGACATTTTTCTATGGTTTTATGAGATGTATCGCCATATCGTCCAGCCCTATGCAGGAGAAATAAAATATTAATAGAAAAAATAGAATATTAATTCAATCTAATTCTGTAACAAATCTAGCCTGAAAAATCACAGAATTTCTTGTAGCACAACGAAATGTGAAGTAACGTAACATAATGTAGGTCACATGATAATAACATTAACCACCCAAGTTATCATAACAGCAGCGAAATTTGCACACGGTTGCACTGATATTTATGTCTGTTTGTTTTTCTTTTTTTCCCCAAAAAGAGTGTATTTGCATGAGAATAATTTTTCCTATATTGTAATTAAGCAATATCGCATAAGCAAGAGTGTGATTATACCGAATATCAAGTATTGTACCTAATCCCGGCCGTGCCGGAATTCAGTATCACCGTATAACTGCGAGTGTAGTATTGCTTAAAAAATAGAAAGCAGTTCTCTAAATAAGAAATGAATATAGAGTAACTGACATTTCAGACACGATATAT